TAATACATTTTTAAGAAGAAATCAAAGAACTTCGAACATGATTAAAATGAATTCAGTGGTTCACAAATCGACTTTGACATGTAAGCTTTTACAAATGTGGATGCCTATGTTTGAGTAATGAGACACTCAGTGGAATGAGATGAAGAGATAATCAGATTGTAAGTTTGGAACTTCTGTCAGAAGGATACTTGAGGGAGATATTACTCAAATCATTCTCTTTTTAACTGATTTGTGACTTTTCCTTTTCAGAATATCATTGACTTTGAAAATTTTACACTATTCTTCCATCCATCTATCCATTTTCTTACAGCTTTGTCTAAATTAGGGTCTTGGGGGAGACTATTCCAGCAAGCAATGGGCTCAAGGCAGGGTACACCATGGATGGGACACCAGTCCATCACAAAGCAGGAAGACACACACAGACATGCACATCAGGGCCAGTTTTCCCATAAGCAGGTTAGCCTACCCATAAAAAAATATGGGAAGAGCATCCAACCTCAACACAGATAGCACCCTAGGTCTGAACTCAGGGCCCCTGCACTGCAATGCCACAATGAAGGCTGTTAAATTTGTTGATTGTTTTAATTTTTTTAGTATAATTTATCATTTGAAGCAAATCTGCACATCAAATAAATGAACTTTTTTTAGAATGATTCTGAGGTTATCTCCTTTTGGGTTTTGTGCATTTGCTCGGACAATTATTAATTGTAGCGATAAGTCACAAAATGATTCTTCGATGGCTAATAGAAAACCGACCTTGCAGAGCAACTCGGAAACGCACACTCGGATACTAATACACGATTATACATTTATTAATACATCAAATGTGCATGTAAACATAACAGATCTTATAGTAAGGGTTAGCAGAATACAAAAGGTATATATTCATATATATAAATATAGGATTTGTAACTGGCAGTGATTCTCTGAAGACCGGCTAGTTGGTCCTGGCTGAACTAGCAGAGTTTGTGCACATGAAAAGTGAATGTGGGTCCAAGCAAGTCACACTCTTTAGATGGGAAGAAGACCGGTTCACTCCCGATGTAGCGCTTGTCCTGAATACTGAGATTCAGCTGTCAACAGTTCTGACCGTAGTTCAGTTGTTGATCAGGCGAGCGTTTGCAGTGGGTTACCGGCTGTTCACGAGGGTTGCTGCTGGGCTAACATCAGCCGGATCCTTTGGTTACGCACGGGCGACCTCCGGTCTCGACTCTTAGAACAAAGTAAAGTCCTGGCACTCAGACACACTGGCTGTCACATGATTGTCCGAGCTGAGTCTGAGAATGTCCTGGAGGGGCCCCTTCTGGGCCCTGTTTTGCCTCTTTTATCTCGAGGAACTACGGTCGTTCATTGGTTGAAAGTTTTGCGGGCATTTGAGACCCAAGTGGTGTTATCCTGCTCTACCTGATTTGCTGATCAAGTTGGAGGATGAGTAACAATGCTCTCTGACCTTAGGGTTGTAAACACTTTTTACAATAACAGTAAGTGGTGTTTTACAACATATTCTTAAAAAATAATAAAATGTTATGACATTTTATAAAGTACAGAATATAAGCTAAATAATGTTAGAACAAGCACGTTAAAACTAGAACCCACTGTAAGTTACCAAGTTAAAGATTTTGATGTATAAAATATTTATACATAATATAATTTGTCCAACTGAGCAATTTTGCTTTTATAAAATAGACCAGCTTTTTAATGTTTAATGTTTTCCATAAACATGCGATATGTTGTTGTATGAGGCAGATTGTTGCACTACGTCCACCACGTTTTAACACAGCGTACCTCACTCATTTTGAATGGCTGGATCTGTATACTGTATATATCATCATTGAAGTTTACTTGATCTAATGACAGTAGAGAAAGGGAAAAACAGAAAGGACACAGGTGAAATAACAATATAATTTACCTCTTCAATAACATGCAGTACCCTAAAGAAGGCAGCCTGTTGGTAAAGGGTTTATTTTCCAGCATCATAATGACCGTAAAAACATTTAAATTCAGTTAAAACACCTAAATACCAACAGAAATAAGAACTGAAGGTTCTGAAAGTCTCAGAGCTGCTGACAGTGTGCTCAAAGAAGCACAATGGTCTTAGTTTTACAGAAGAGGGAAAGAACATGGAGTAATAGGACATAAATACATGGAAATAAAGTGCCTTACACTGTGATAGAACATCTAATATATGTACAGGTGCAATGGCTGCTAAACAAGAACATTTTGATGAAAATAGTTTGCAGTAAAATTGGTAGTGAAACATTTTTATTGTACACCTAATACAATATTAATACATTTCTGTATAAAAATCCAATTTCCTTGGGTCTCATTATTTTTTACTTCCAGCTAGCATACTGTGTACTATATGTATATATCTATGCGTATATAGACAGGCACAGTATAGGTAGTCACATTCTTACATCACAGATTCTAGTCACACCCAGATCACTCAACTGCATTTGCTACCTTAATTCAACTTGAGAATTGAGGACAAGAAAAATCAATGAAGAGTGTGATAAACATGAGCGACCTAATGTGTTCCTGTATTATTCTGCACAATTAAATTTTTATTATGCAGCATAATGAAGATAACTGGCAGGTAAAGGGGATTGAAAATGACACTGATTGAAAATTAATCTAATAAAGTGGCATATGATCCTCAACAGCTGGCCTGGACTGCATGTAGTCCATAAAAATATAAATGAATAAATAGGCTTGATAGCTGAGAAATGCAGCACGATGATACCTGAAAATAGAAAAAATCTAATCAGCTTAGTGAATCAGATACTACTGTGCTTTTTGAACCATAAGTTTCTTTTTTAATAGCTGTAATAGTCTTTAAAAAAGTAAAGCCAGTATCTTAAGAAATTTCCTGTTAAGAAAACAGGAAAAATTTAACTTTTGGGGGGTGCATCTGTTTTTGCCTAATCAAAATCCATTTAATTTGTGAAGAAGTAACATTTAATAAAGCTGTATCTCTATATTTTTAGTCATTCTGTATATGTTGACTATGATATTTCTGTGTTATTGGAGTTGTAAAACATTAATTCAGGAGGAGGTCAATTCTAATCTCAGACTTCTGCTCTCTTGCATACAGTATCACCTGCCTGTTTTTAAACCTATCCTTCCACCCCAGAAGGATAGAAGGTAGCTAAAAGTTTTGGGTTCTTATTCCCGCGGTTTTACTCCAATGGCCAAATCATGTACAATTCTGGCATTATATGGTCATTATATGGCATTATATGTGAAAGAGTTTATCTAGTATCTGTGAACATTTGCTCAGACCATATCTACTTAACATTCGGTAGAATTCGGTAAGAAGGCTCTTTTGGAATTTTTGCAAGGTTAATTGCAAGGAAAATTTAGGCAATGTTCCAAAATACCCTGTTTCTGCCTGCAATCCTAGTTGGAATTATCCACAGTTAGGTTGAATCTGCCCTAATGGTCCACAATATTGCTCATACAGTACCTATAGCCTATAAGGCACCCAATAGCCATTCCTATTTAGTGACAGTTAGCTCTTTCCCCATGGACTTTTGACTTTCTGGGTCTACTGCACGAATTTTAGAAAGCTGAACTGCATTAAGCCTTCAGGAAAGCTACACAAAACCCTTTTCAGGGAGAGCACACTTGAGGTTTGCATGCTCTGTCCCAATAGTTTTAGTGTGCACACAAACTATTCAATTAAAAGCCTTCTTACAAACAACAAAGTTTGTTCTCTTAAAAATTATTTAAAAGGCTTTTGGATACGACGTTGATATTTCATTTTGAGAAACAAAAATCTTGAAAAATTCTAACCTAAGAATAACTCATCACCATAAAGAATAGTCTTTTTAGTATTTCAGCCTACCTTGGTATGTGTTTTATATGTTAGCAAGTAGTAGCTTTGGGGTTTTGGCCTCATGATTGTGAATTCCTAGAGTCCTCACCTTTCATTTTTACACACAAAAGTATGGTTTAACAAGCAGGACTCTCAGTGTGGTGGTCTTTTCTGTTTTCTGAAGGTCGTAAATTTGGGTTTTAACTCTCCCTGTCAAGTCAGAATCTGAAAAGGAGACGGTCTTATTCTCAGAATATCGATTGCACATAGCAGGGGGTACTTTCCTCTCTGATGATGTTAGTGAGTGCCCTTCAGGGAGGAAAGGAAATGATCATGAATCCTTGAAGCTGAGAACACAGTTGTCTGGCTGTTGCTCGGATGCAAACATTGCACAGATGCCTGCAAATCTGCTGTTATTCTGGGAATGTGACGAAAATCCAGATTCGGTGCTTTCATGTTTCAGCACCAGCATGTTTCCAATGATCAGGGATTGTACTTACTCAAGCCATTATTAATCTGTTGAAAGTTTACAGTAGTGGATGAAGAGGCTTAGTGAGTTAATGATCTTGTATTGTTTTTTTTCTGAAACTGGATTGACAGTATTCATTTTTTTTCTGAAAATAATTTACTTGGCTGCTGAATAAAAATCTAATTAAAAACAAACAAAATGACTTCCGATTTAATACTTCGACCTCTTTTCCTGTATTTTACTGCATTCCAGTGTTTGTGAATAGTTGTCACTCTTCAATATTATTTTCTCAGAATGAATAATGATGTATAATGAAAGGAACACCCATACACAATTTTAATAATAGAAGTTTATAGGCAAGCTACGAAAAAATTAGTTTTTAAATATTTCATGAAGAAAGGAGCGCGAGACTCCTTTTGTTTGGGCATGATTTCAACTCCTGCTATAAGCTGAGAATTGCAAGATACCAAATCAGCAGCAGCTAATATTTGTTTCCACTTTTGTTAGTTTGTGTTTGCTTTATGAATGTGATCTATTTTTAATTGTGTTATTTTGAGAAAAGATTCTGGCCTTTGTATACAGTACTTTATTTATTTTGATTTCCTAGTTACTACAGTAACATTTTCTTTTTCTTTTGTATATCTTTTAAAAATGGTATGGGTTGTGAGCAACTAGACAGTTACTTGATTGAAATGTTTTGTTTTTCTCTTGCAGGTATTCCCAATAATCTTGGTCCTGTTAGTAAGTAACACAAACAAATAAAAACAAAAACTGCTAGATGCTTTGCTTTGCCTTTCAAGACCTAAAGTCCACTTGATGTTCAATATTAATTTCTGATTCAGCTTGACTTCTTACACCCGTCGCATTACAGTAAGTGATCACACATAACTGAATTTAAAGAATTCTTAATGGTTCACCTACATTTGCAAAGAAAATCAATCACTCTCAGACAAAGAATCTAACATACTTCATACTTTTTTTTAATTGGAAAACTCAAATCAGCAGAGTATATGAAAATGTTCCATATACAGTATATATATAAAGAAAGAGAGATAAAATGATTGGCATTTTAAAATTAATATAGAAATGCAAGCCACATGCATATATATTGATAATGACAAAATTGGTCTAGAAATATCATGTTAATTTTTATATAAATGACAAAGTCATGCAAATCATTATCTGCCCCAGCCAGTTTCCCCCTGAGTGCTTGGATGTGTACAGTTACAGTTGCTGAGTAGATGGATAAAAGTAAGACACAGTGAGTGGGAACATGTCAAAGTGCATTTATATCCTTCAAATTTCAGTATCAGTCTTTTAAATAAATTGTGCCTTAGATAATGGTATAGTGTATTGCGTGCACTATACAAAGTAATAACAATAAAACAAATATGCATTATGTTTGTATAATAAAAAACTAAATGCAGTAATGTACAGTATCGGTTTGATACAGTACCATGTGGAGCTACTGTATTAGAATATTCATTATTCCATTTGATTTACTCCACTAAATTAGACCTGACCAGGGGTGTCCTGGTGGCACAGCAAGATAATTTAGTGTGAGTCCATGAAATTCAACTTGTCCAGTGTTATTAGCATTTGGCTTCCATTCTGTTTAAGTTCAGGATAATCAAATCAACTACAATATGATGTAGTGTCACAGTGAAAGCGCAAAATATGTCTTTGGGAATTGGATGGCTATCTTTATAAATTTATGGTCCCTCAAGGAGAAGATTGAGTAGTTTGGAAACTGGTGAGATAGATTTAAAATAAGTATTTGGAAGCAATTGGGGAACTTGTGCTGTGCCAGCTACTACTGTGCCAACCACCTACTACTTAATGTAGAAAGATGCCAAAATTCATGAGTGCAGACCCATAGGAATGCTGAACGTGATAAATATTTCTTCTCTAATTTTGCTGAATGTTGCTGTGAGATGAATAATGCTTTGTAATGAATAGGACAACGTTAGTTAATGAACAAATTAAATATCCAAGTCATGGCTCTCTTCAACAATGCAAAATGGGCATGTGGTCATCATATTGATACAATGTACTAATTCTAAATTTAATAGCTATGTATTTTGATTAGTCTTTTTTCAGCTATGAAAATGTACCAAGAAATGTCTGGAATTATTATTATTGTTATAATCAGAAATATGTACTGGATTAAGTGGATCTTTAGAACCGGTGGTGTTTATGGTCAATGTTGTTTTATGTGCATGCATTGTGTTATAATTGTGCTGCATGTTTTCCATTCCACTAAATCATCATCCTTCATGTTCAGCACTTCTTTTCATTAACAGACTTTTCCATCTGAATCCTTAATGGGAAGGCTCAATACAAATTTCCATCCATGTTGAAAGGACACACAACTGGGGAGAATCTCTTCAGTTGTTGTAGATGCTGGCTGTCAATAGGGGCTAAACGCGTTTCTGAAGCACCTTTTGAAACCCATATTGCTAATTTCACCCAGCATCCTTGAATCCTAGCAACCTCGAAGAAAGAATAATCTTTCAGTAAAAATAATTTCTCTGATCTCAATAATGTATTGAGTTATTGGCATGTTGGAGATGTCATAGGTTTTACGACAACCTTAAAACAATTCCAAAGTTCTTCATTTCATTGTTACTTAAATGTGTATACTCAATTACGACTGGTTAACAAAGCAAAGCGTTTCCCATCCTTTTTTTCTGGAACCATAATTCAGCCTTTTAGATGTGTGTCCTTTCTAATTGCCTTTATGTTTGCAGATATTTCTTTATTCCTAATAACTGAAATTCCCATTAAGGTTGTTACTGTTTTTTTACTTGATATCATATGACAATGGCAGTGATCAAAGTACCTTATTTCAAACATAACTACTGGAGCTTGAACTATGAACCAGGAGGTTCAAAAAAGGAAAAGTAGTCATTAGTAGCAATAGTGAACTATATATTAAATTAGTTTAATTCTGTCGTACTTAGAGCCGTATTTTGACATAAAGGGAAGAGTATACATGTAGATATTGTTCATGGTGGAATAAGCCAAAGTATTTAATGATGCAAAATGTTTGTCTTCCTGTTTTCTTCTAATATCTGTTTCCATAATCTTTTGTAGAGTAAGAAAGAGAGACAGATATACTCATATACTTAGAAAATAGACAAAAAATATTTACTGTATATACTGTACAAACCCCAAAGCAGCTGGGATTAAATAATAATTGTGGCTCTCATGTTTTTTTTTGCCAAATTATTTTCAAGAACTGAACAATGTGTGGAATGGATTGAATTAATTTATTCCACAACTACCATTGCCTACAGATCGAAGGTCGTTCAAGGTATCACAGACATGTACAATCTCAGCTGCTTTAAATTTTCCAGCTATGCCATGATTAAAATGTAATCCCAGTCATGATAAACACTGAATTCAAATATGGAACCACATTCAGAGCGTGGAAAAGCTGTCCAGGGGGAGGAGAAGGGGGGGTGGGGTTGTGGCACTAGACTTTACCGCTGCCTCTGCTTCACATGACATTGAGAATATTGCATTTCCAGCTACTTAGCACTGCTATTTCCCACCGAAGGAAATAAAGAATTGTATGTAATTATGAGGTTATGCAATAATTTCACATGCACTATTTGTTTCCTTTCACAACATGAAAACCCTTTCTACAAATATATTGAAATAACATATAACATGTCACATGAGCAATATTTTGAAAATTGAAATACATTTGAAAGCACTCTGTTTCATCCATTTTGAGATTTTAATGCATTTTAATGCAAAATAAATTTAGTATAATTAATATTCTGGAATTATTTTTAATCATTAATTTTAATGCTATGAGTTCACATCCCATTCAGTAGATTTTTTGGTAATGTGTCATCATAGAATAACAGTTTCCAGAAAACTGCACAATTACATACAATATGTCAGAGTCTGTTAATCTGTTTTGGGGATGCATTGATTGCTCGTATTTGTCAGGCTTGGCAGTCATATGTTGTGCAAGTGCATATGAACTATGAAAGCGGGAGATGTCTGTAGTTGTATTTGTCCACTAGTATATTGACATCAGAAAAGTCTCATATAGTCAGTGCTATTAATAACTCCTGATTTCTCCTGATGCATGCAGTTCGGCCGAGTGTGTCATCTCTAGGGGTTGCTAACCGAAATCAAGGTAGGCTTTCTGAAACAAAACAATAAAATCCTTATGCAATAACAGCAAAGTTACCTAAAATTCAAAATGAAATCAAACTACGCAGCTTGGATTAGTTTGATTTTTTTCTGTTTATGTTTCAGTTAAAATGGTATTTGTTTTTCATTTTAACACCTTATTTTTTCCCCTCTACTAAGATGGTAAGACTGTGCGATACTTGCTGAACTAGTGAAAAACAAAACAGAAGGCAATTTTAATTTAATTAATTTATTTACTCTTCCTTTAAATTTCTTGCCAAAACTGTACACTATACAATGGCTGCTTTCCTGGATCATCTACACAAGCCCTCAAGTATAGATTTTGTCCCATGAAATGGGCTATATTAGAGGAACATTTCCACAGATTTCAATAGTCTTTGATTATCCTTTCCATTTTAATTAGGCTTGATACTTGTAAGGTTTCTCAATTCCATCTTCCACCAAAGGAAAAGAAAAAGGCAGTGGGGGTTTTATGTAGATTGATTTCAGGCAATCTTCAGTTAATCCCTTGTGCAGATGTGCTGTGCAAACATCTTGCAACTGCCCTTTATTTTTATAGTCCCAAACAAGCAAGCTTTTTTTTCCCAGAAAAGATTTTCGTTTTAAAAAGGAAAGCAAAGATTTTGACCTTTATTATTTTGTTATTAAGGTTGAAAAATGCAGTAGCTGGCTTTACATTTTTTTCCAGTGTTGTTCAGAATCCTTTTTCTATGATGTTGTGAACAAACCAAGGAGATGATCCCACAGGGTTTGCTGTAAAGGAGGTTGTTGCATTAGGGCATGGAGTCCTAACCTGTTTGTCCTTTGTAGTCTTTCTCTCTAAGGCATTTAAAACAGTAGCAGTATTACACTGAAATGGAGCATGATTACATATTAAAAAAGATAAATTGAAAATAAGGGCTGTAGGAATTTAGTATGCATTCAGGTCAATAATATTGTACAACTGTTGCAAAATGAAGAAATAGTCTGCAGCTGAATAAAGAGAATCTTCACAGAGAATGTGCACAATTGCCTACATTCTTCCAATTTAGATCAATGAAATTTTACAGTCATTTTAGTAGCTGAAACCATATAATTAGAATACAAATTTCGATTTTTCATAATGTTTGGGTAAAAGTAAAATATGATAAACGGCTTTGTGCCAATTTAGCGCATATACAAATCTTAAAGTACAGACATTTCCTGTGAAAAATTGATGGATTTCAGGCATTAATACCAACCTTTGCTTACTTACAGTAAGAACTTAACATGTATATCCATAATACTTACATCCTGAAGGATATAAATAAATATTACACCATTTTCATTGGTTCTTACAGAGCAAAATAATTTGCATAAATTCCCTTTTTAATTTGTTTCTAATTGGTCTCACTAGAAATGCCCTGCAGGCCTCTAATTTAGTGGGTAATGGTGCATTTCCGTAATGGATTTCAACTGTTTTTTGTTAATCATAACCAGCATGCTGTATGCATAGTATATATATTTTTAAGACGTCATATACTGTATGTACAGTATGTGTTTGCAAGGATATTCAATGCATTTTTCTTTAGTCTTGACATCAACAGTTATTACAGAACTGTCAAGCTCACAGGGGCTTTCATACTGGCACTCCAACCCAAACAACAGGGTCACAGTGACGTGGATTAAGCTGTCTCTGTCTCTGGTGTAAAACAGTCCACTCAGAACAGCATAACAGACTTTAGGATCTGGGCTGATTTGAGCAGACCCAAAGCAGGTGAAAGAAAGTGCATGATCAGTGCTTAATGAAAGGCCAATGGTCCACAGCGATCCTGAAGTTTCATTCTCACAAAGAACCTGAATCAAATTCCTTCGAGAAGAGGCCGGATCGATGCAGAAAGGTCATGTTATGAACAAATACCGCATACAAGTGTTGTTCATTTAAAATATATTTATTTATTTGACAATTTTAAAAGGTTTTCTTTTTCAATGAAAATTGAATAACATTATGGCACTTTGCATTTCCACTAAGTTGTTAGTTGTTTAATCCTTTTGTAAATATTAAAAATGATAAAGCAAGTTTAAGTCTGTTCCGTAGCTTAAAGAGGCTTTACCTACTTGATAAATAACACAAAAAATAAATATCAATAAAAAACAGCATTGTGGCTGAATATACAATGTAGATAGATATCTAACAGGGTTTATTCAGGGTTAAGGTGTCTGTTAAGTGCAAGCAGGCGCTGCGAGGTATGGTAATGTGAATATCAATTATCCCTGGCCGTTTCACAATGCAAGGAGGCAGAACCATCTAAAACAGACTTCAAATTGTGTTTTTTGCATACATAAAGTCAAAGTAGCAGGCACAATCATCTGTTTTGCACTTGTTGAGATGCATTTATCCGTGAAAATCTGTTTAAATGGTTCTGTTTCCTCACACTGTCAATCAGTCAGTGCTAATTAATATTTATTTCTATAGTAGATATTTCATTTTTTTATGCAACTATGCTGCTGTTACCAATATTTGGAATTTCTAAAGTCACTGAGTCAGGCCAGTGTGTGTGCATATCTTTGTCAGTGAATGAAACTGGATATCATCACAAAAGGAACATTTTATAGCAGTAACTACAAGTACAATGAGAAACTCTGGTCATTTTGACTCGTGCTCTAAGCATTTTGTGTGTTTTGGTTTCTACAGTTTCTTTGATTCCAGTATTCATTCCACAAACGTTTTGTTAAAAAAATGGCTATTTATTCCAGAGGACGGTTTTTTTCTCAAATAAGAAAGCATTAATATCTCACTAGAATTTCACCTCACAGTACCATTGAACCTCTTTGCTTTTGCTTTTACAGTAAGTACTGTCTTATATACTGTAGCATACAGTTTAATCAATAAAGATTTTGTTTCCTTATTTGTATATTTTTGCAGGATTTGTGGAGTTGAAAATAATTGCAAAGTACTATATTTTTGGGGAATGGAATTTGAATTAAAACTTGTATTAAAGTTCTTTCTGTGTTCAAAACTGTATAACATTAGAGATGGTAGCACATCATTGAAGCGAATCTAAGCAATCCAAGTGCCATGCATTAAAAAGGAATTCCCTTTTATTTTGGGAAGAAAAAAACACCCAACAATACTGATAAATTGGGAGTATAAGAAAGTTAACAAAATTGGTCTTGTGATCAACCATCAATAAATATTCTCTTTAATAATTTTGTCATACACAATTTGTTTGATTGTTTCCTATTCATTTAACAATTAGTTTCAATACATCCAGTAGCTTTACTTTGTGTCGTTTTAGTTATTGTTGTATTAAATCCATAAACCCCTTTCTACTGTTGTTGACTCAGAAAAGTGTTCTTCATAGTATAAAGACTCAAGTCCTTTTCTCTGTTTAATGGAGGCATTATCTTTTTTTAACTTATCTAGTTGCTCCACAAGTTGCTTTGTCAACTGTCCCTTCAATTCAAGTTGCAAACAGCAAGAGAGGTAGGAATTCTAAGATTCATACAGTGCCTCCCTGTGTTAGTTTTTGTTGTGAGAGCTTGCACACTGTATGAATCTAGAATAATCGTGAGGTGTATGTGGTAACTACCAGGCACGTCTTTCCCTTTCAGTATTGAAGAACAACAGGTTGAAAAAAATTGTTGTTCTATTTTAGAGGAGTTTTTTTTCACTTTAATTAATGACTGAAAAATTCTGAACCTTTGCCTTTAATGTGCAAAAACTGTCACATAAAGTAATGTTGCTTTATACAAAAAATAACTTGCTAACTACAATCTACCTACTGTACATTTAATCAGAAGTGAGCATTAACACCTTAAAGATTAAACAAAGTGCAATTACATTTTTTAATTTGTATTGAAGTAAATTTGAATCATTCCAGTGCAGCCAAAGTCTTCATACATTTGTGAAATTTATCAACTTATTTGTTTTTTTTCTATTAAATATGATATGTAACAGTTTTATGCAACAAGAAATGTTAATTTGACATATTTGCTATTTGGAGTGTACTTCATAAATACAATTTTAAAGATGAAAATACCAGACATTTGAGAATATAGAAAGTTTTCTAAGTAAGAACTATAAATGTCAAGCTTAAAATTGTTCATAAGATTATTTTCTTTTCAATAATGTTTTTCTTAACAGGGCAATAAATCATAAAGGGTATCCATAACTATCATTTATATCCATTAACAGACTGCATACTGTCCACATAAATCAAAGTATTGTTAAAACTTAATACCACCTACAAGAATGTATGCATTCTTTAGAAAGTTGTAACTGTCATCCCATTTTTTATACCTCAACACAGATTTGGAGACACAAATGTTTTTTAAAGCTCCTATATTTTAAGTTCAATAAACAAAAATGAAGTGCTTTTAGCACAGTTAAAGAGACAAAAGTTAAAAAAAAAACAATTATTTGGATCAAGGATATTTCCTAGTGTATGTTTGATAATAATTTTATGTTGCATGCATTTTGGTATAATTTCACCATTAGGACATTTAATATTTGAAATTAGAACGTATGTCATTTTAGGATTATCTGTTCTACTTTCCTTTTTGATCATATATAGTAAGAACTAAAGTTGCTGGTATTTTCTAAACACTGAGTAAGACTGCTGTGTGTTGCAGTATTATCATGTAGAAGATCTAATTCTGCTTTGCAGAAATTTGAGAGTACAATTTGTAGAAACGTGTCTAAGGCATTTTGTAAATTGTACAGTAGCTGTTCTATACATTAAGTGCTAGGCAAAATAATTGTTTGATTTTTATCTAGGTAAACGTATTCTATGTGTCACTGAATTTTTATCTTTCATTATTATGTGGATATGCACCTCAGGCTGATAAATTAGGTTCTTACACTTCAAGAGTACTGTCATTGATAAAGGTATATTCCACAAGTACTCAAAACAAGTACTTATTGGTATGAGACACAAGTCAAAGTTGCCTAATATAGCAACTTCATATAGTTATAATATTTTGTCAGTGCTGTGTTTCCTTTTCTTTGTTCAGTCCATTGTATTTGTTGCAACTGTGTTATTATAAAAAGAGTGCAGACCATCCTTTATAGTATCAGACAAAGCCTTCCTGATATTCCTCTGTGGAGGGACAGAGGAGCTCACTGTATGTGTTAGCAATTATGTTCAAACGTTGCTCCAATATACAGTGTATATAGGGAGTGTGCAGTATAGAGCAGGATATGCACAGCTATACACTATGGGATTTCTACAATTCTTGACTTATACAAGTGCGGGACATATCTTAAAATGTGAAAGTTCCAGCTCCTTGTATTTAAATTATTTTACCATTCGGATTTAATAATACAGTCTTGCAATATATATTGTGTATATGATATATATATATAAATTTCAAAATGCACGGTATGTTCATGCCTGCCAAGGTCGAAAATTACATCCTCTAATTATTTTAAATTATCATGCTATAGTTTCATATAAACATTGCTTTTGTAGTGTTCTAGACACCCATCCATATTCTATGTGCTTGAAGGCCATGCTTGAACAACATGCAGTTCATAAGCCCAAGGTGATTCTACATCTAATACTGCTGTCTTGTGCTAACTTGCAGCCATTACTCTGTTCATTTTTTCATCCTAATCACGCATGTGATATGCTCTATATCTGCTGCTGTATACATTTTGTATACATCTCTGTTCTTCCTTGCAAGACTGTGAATGCTTCGGCCACTCCAACCGGTGCAGTTACATCGAGCTGCTAAACTCAGTCATTTGTGTGAGCTGTAAGCACAACACTAGAGGGCAGCACTGTCAGTTATGCAAGCTCGGCTACTACAGAAACGCTACAGCAGAGCTGGACGATGAAAATGTGTGCATAGGTCAGTTTGATCATCATAATAAATAATTGCAGCGTATGTCCTCCAGCATGATCATGTGACAGCTATGTGGTTAATCGACCACCTTTTCATTTCCTGCTAGCTGTTTTCACAGACCTGATACAGTGACTTTAACACCGTTTTCATTGGTTACTCACTGCAGACAATGGGAAAGTAAGAAATAAAGGTGAAAATTTTAATTGCACAATATTTATAGATTCTAATTACATCAAAATTCTTAAGGTGCTATCCTATTTATGAAAGAACAAAGAAACATACATAAATTGGGGAATTTTTAAACTGATACACATATCATTGACAAATGCATTCCAGTTCTGGGATTTTGCACAAACTGTAGGGGGCACTACTCTCTTCCACAACATTACCTTGCTTGTTTTGCTCTGTGAATATTCAGATCTGTCAGAAGAATTTAACCAGGTGTTTCCAAACAGATGTTCTCTCCAAGATGGTGTAACATTTGGGAGATTTTGCTGTAACACTGAATTAAGATATGCACCCCAGTAACAAATCTATAAAATCTGTTAATATATTCATATTGCCTCAATGTGTATGAAAACTTTATTTCATTAATGTGTGTTACGGTTTGGGAGTAAAACATAATGAAATGCATCATACTGTATATGATTATGTAAATTAGACAAAAACAGCTCTAACATGTTATTAAAGACAAAACAATAGCCTATACTGTTATATGCTGTACCCTAAAATACACAAAATCCTGTAAGTTACACACTATTGATGTACTATGCAAAAATTACTGTCGGAGACAGTCCGTAAATAAGCACAAACTGCTTTTATAAATAATTTACTTCAGCAGGTTTATTTTTATAACATGAAATACTTAATTCAGAAACCATATCTAATTTTGATTAATCTTAGTATAATGTCATATTAAGTTATGCTTCTCATATGTAAAGTAATTGAAATTCTCAATACATTAATAGAAATATTAAACGTTACTTATATTAAGCATGTTATGGAATTTATACATATGTTATGTATTTTACATATTTATATGTATAGAGTATTTTAATTCCATAAAAAAAAAGATATTTGGAAATTCCCATGTGCTATTGTGAACTTTTCACATTTTTGCACCTAAAAATCTAATGTTACATTTCAATATTTTTCAGTTATGTGGATTACATCTTATGTTTTCATATTGAAAATGTAACGCATTAACTAAGAAAGACATCTGTTTAGGCAATTTATTTCAATAACTAGGTTGAAAAGTTTCATACAATAATCTTGCTTCCTTTTGGCCTCTAGGTGTGAATGCTATTAAAGTTACACACTTGTTGAGGTGTTTTTTTCCTCTGGGTCTTATTAGCTTATATTAATTTTTTTTATATATTTCATCTCTAAGATAAATCTGCCATTGTGATAGTTTTGCTTTGGACAATGTTTCCATAACAGATTAGATTTTATTTCCAAATAAAGCTTGAAGGTGTCACTTACACAATGTCGGTGCTCCCTTGGAGTAGACATTTCTGCACCCAAAGGGAATTTAAATTAGAGAGAAATGCGATTATTGCTTCATTATTGAAAGTGTCCAAAGAGAAAATGCCTCTAGGGTGATTGAGGCCTAGAGATGTAATTTATTTGCAAAACAGAATGTGCGGCTGAGCTTTAGGAACAAGCGGTGTCCAGCACCAGGTTGGCAATCTAGCTCTGTTTTTTATTTCTCCCTCCATGATCAAGGTAAAAAAAAAAATGCAAAGACTTGATGTTGATTTAATTGCCTTCATGTTGCCCAGACTGCCTGGAAACAATATTATTTTAAATTTCTCTACGTTTCTCATTAGAAAAAAAAAGAGAGAAATAAACAGTTTCGGGTTTAAGTTTTGTACAGCTTAGGAATTTAGCATTGAAAGGACAAGAGAGAAGCTTCTTCAGGGAATCTGTCAATAAATGTTGAAATGCTGCCTGAGATGATACTATGTAGCAATTAGAATAGGAAGCAATGCAAATGTATGTCTCATGAATTCTGTGAAAATTTAAAATGCAAAACATTTCACGAGTCATGCCTGGTGTTGGATATAATTGACACCATTCTATTTGGAAAACATACATTTTATCAAGTAAAATAGGACAGCCAGGCAACCTCTTAACTACCTATTTCCAGGTACGCCTGTCAACAAACAATATAGCATGCATATTTTCTTTTGAGACAAGAAAAGATGTATGGGATTTCAAGCCCAGATTTGAGTCTTAAGGGATTAGTCTTAAAATTGAAACGTACATTTAAATGATGGAAGTAGACCTGTGCTCATTAGAATATTTCTACAGTATGAAACTCAATGTATGTGTGTAAAAATCATCTCATTTAAAATCAATTTAAATGTGTAATAACATTCTCGATTTTCATACTTTCGTGTTAGAACCCATGTCCTTCTGATTGTTTAAATCTGTGAACTTGCCATTGTCTATAGTGAGTTACAAATGAAAGAAAAGAGGTCTGAGCTTATTTGCTAATGCTTATTTTTTAGTTTTAATTTATTAGATTTTGTAAGCACTCCACCCTACAGTTATATTACCCAATATGATGTATCTTGAAAGGCGCTATATCAATAAATGATGTTGTTATGCATTTCACTTGCCAATTACTGAAATGAAAAAGGTCAGTCTTAACTGGTACAGGTTAATTTTTCTTTCTGAAATTATGCTGTGCATGTTAAATGAATATGTTATTACATTATGTCATATATTTAAGACAACAACTGTAGCTTCTTTATTTTGCAGCTTTAGATGTATTTTTATTTTTCTAAGCTAGTGAATTCTTGAATAACATACAAAAAACAAAGGATACAAATAAGTATACAGAAACATATATGCACTTAAACCATTCATCATATATGCACTTTTTAAATATATAAACATAATATATATATATATGTCTACCTCCAATATAATTTTTTAAGCCAGTACAACCTCATTCACTTCCTAGTTTTCCCCTTTTTCTACATTTTCCCCACAGAGCTGCTGAAGATGGTATCCAAATGCAATATTCACTTTTCTTTGCTATTTAAATGACAGCAGTCTGGTATGGTGCACCTTACCAATCTCTTTCAACAAGAAAACAGAAGCTGAATAATAATGCTTTTGAGATAATGCAGTCTTTAACATATATTGGAAAGCTTAAGCTTTTTGAGCACAGACATTAATTGGTACCCTGATGTAACAGAGCCATACAATCCCTGGCTCTAAATGAACCCAGGAGTGCTAAGGAAACAGAATGCCTTTTGTTGGTTTTGCCAACCAAGGCTTAACTATCTTCTTTCTTGAATAAGAATTCAGAGCTCTTAGCTCAAAGGGAACATGCTTCATACATCAATCAGTCAGTAGCACAGGGGAGAAGAAGCTGGAGATACATGAAACAGTTATTCTCAGGCATCAGGAATTTTATCTTAGTTCAGTTTGAGCTACTAACTAAATGTTTAACAATTTTACTGATGTTAGAATTGGAATAGTCTATCCAAGGTTTTGCGTAGTGAGTGTGAGTCAATGGTTTATGTTATAGATAATGTGCGTATTCATAAGTATGTTATTTTAAATATTAGTTTTTAATAAAATGACTATTGCCAGAGTGAAATATACGTGGCTATTCTTTAGCTTCTATTTATGCATAATTCATCTTAGCATTAGTTTTAATCATTTCGAACAATACAATAGCAGACCACTCTTATTCACAGAAAACAGAGCAAGCAAAAGTAAAACTTCCCCTCTTGCTAGCTCATAGGCATTTGACTATAATCAGGAATGCTTTTATGGATAATTTGCCCTGTTGCATTGTCTTATTTGTGTCTACGCATAATCTTGAATGAATAATTTCACATCTAATGAATTTTATGGCAGCTATACTCATCATTGTTGACTAACATGAGGGCATTACACATTAAAATCTGATCTTTCCTCTGAATTTAACTTATCCGTGTTGTGAATATTAAGTTTGCAAACGTGCAATTCTTGTTGTATCTCACATATCATTGTTGAATGATGCATTGAATAACATGATTTAATTTATTATTAAGGACATAATTGCTTCCCATAGTCTGTAGATTATATTTTCATGTAAATATTAGCTCCAATAACTTTCTGATTAATGTAGCAATGCCAAAAGGAAATGTTCCTGTAATAGTCCTATAAACATAATCATGCATGACGGCTAGATTCGTTTCATGTTAAGATAAAGAGAGAAGACCTTATTATGTTAAATGTGTTGAGATGTGTGTTAATACACTGTGCGTAATCTAAAATATGTTCATGCATCATGTTTTCTCAGAAACATTGACTCAAGAATATATTGCAACTGGCTACCATCTTTTGCAATCATTTCATTTCTAGTCTAATATAAAGGTTATCTATGAAAAATAATGCTGGATTGCAGGACATTAAATAATTAATAGATGAATAATTGCATAAACACATTTTCTTATAAGCATTGTTAATAATTTAAATACACCAATAATGTTTTTTTTTTCATATTCCAAAGCACATTTAATTGCCATGTAAATGATAGCATTCTGTACTAAAAGTGGTTGTTGATTTGGAAGTCTGCTTGAATAAGAAACAAATCTCTGCACATCCTTTGTCCTGATGAATTTCTTTGAGATTGTGAGTTGTTTTTTATTAGAGTTGTTAAACCGTTAACCCATATACTAGTCTCCAGTGTCTGTGTATGTGTCTTGTTTCAACAGACTGTAATTGTAATCCCTTTGGCTCAGACAGTGATCACTGTAATGGCACAGGATTTTGTAAATGTAAGGAGGGAACAACAGGGGCTAAATGCGATGTGTGTCTGCCGGGATATATATGGGACAATGGCTGCAAATGTAAGTAAAATCCTCCTAAGCAGCCCTTCTGCACTTTTTGCTGCTGCAGCTTCTGATTGCCAGCATGTGCCGCTACATACCTAAAGAGCAGAAAAGACAAAGACAACAATTTTATATTGTAAAAATAAGTGCTAGCACAACATAAAAAATGCTTGCATTTTCATGTCTAAATGCTTTTACCTTTGTTCGATTTCTCTTTATGAATTGCTGTTCTCCTCGGTAGATTTCTTAAAGTGTAACTATGATATTTTGATATTTTGGTGGCTTTATTTGAACTTTGATTTGCTTATTTATAGACCTGCATGAATATAAGTTTTAGCTTAAAGACACAAAACGAATGACTTTTTTATTACTTGGTTTGTTTGTAATGAAGCATGAAACAAAACATTCCTGGATTTTATAATGCCACAACATAATTAGTATGCAAGCACAAGTAACTCAATAAAACAAACATTAATTTAACATCTTCATTCCTATAGAAATCTTCCTTTCATTTCTGTTATGTTGAAGGTATTGATTTTCAAATGTGTTTCTGTGTGAAGTGCTACCATTTTTCAACCTTGGGTGTACTGAGATTTTTCAAGGATTTTATACCATAAAATGAACAATAAAAGTGAAAGTTTTTCGTTGCAGCGAATTTTAGTATTATACATTTAACTACTTCAGGTGAGTAGCTGCGTCAGCATGTGTAGGCTGCAAAGGAACAAGTAACAGGTTTATTCCATGCTGAAAAGAGAGGAAAGGAAACACAACGTTTCGGCTATGGAGCCTTCTTCGGGTGTAAGAAAGATAGGACAGTCAGCAAAGATAATATAGCATAGGAGAACAAGCCAGGAGCAAGGGAGAAGCAGAGTGGCCAATCAAGTGGTGCCGGTTCGAGAGAGGTGAGGAGAGGTTTGAAACGAAACCTACAAATGAATAGAGAGAATTGGAAGAAAACAAGTCTGGCATTGAGAGAAGGGGGACGTGAACCAAGTTTCAGGATAATTTTAGTTTCTGATGTTTTTCTGCTAAAGGAGTTAAGAAACCCTACTTTGAGAACACAGACAGAGAGATCAGTGTGATCATGGCCATCAGAGGTGAAATGAGAAATTATGGGCTTGGAGAAATCTTTAATCTTCACAGCCCTAACATGTTCTCTGAAGCAGTCTCCTAGTCTCCTTCCTGTTTCCACAGTGTAGATGGCTGGGCATTTACTGCAAGAGATACAGTAAATAAGGTTGCTGGAGGTACAAGATGTCATCTGAGTGATCCGGAATTGTCCTGGGGGGCCTTGAATAAGTGTGGTGTTAGATATCTACTTGCAGGTGATACATTGAGCTCTGTTGCAGGGGAAAGTGCCTGGTGTGGATGATTGCTGCGGGCGGTCAAGGGACCTTTGAACAAGAAGATTACGCAGATTAGGTGGTCGACAATATGAGATGATAGGGTTGTCAGAAAACAGAGCCCCAAAGGACGGGTCATTCTGTAGGATAGGAAAGTGGTCATTAACAGTCCTAGGCATAGAAAGTGTGTTAGGGTGGTAGGGAAGCACCAAAGGGATGTGGTTGTTAGGTCGGGTCATCCTGATCTTGTACCTCCAGCAACCTTATTTATTGTATCTCTTGCCGTAAATGCCCAGCCATCTACATTATGGAAACAAGAAGGAGACTCTGAGACCGCTTCAGATAACATGTTAGTGCTGTGAAGATTAAAAATTTCTCCAAGCCCATAGTTTCTCATTTCACCTCCAATGGCCATGATCACTCTGATCTCTTGTCTACGTTCTCAAAGTAGGGTTTCTTAACTCCTTTAGCAGAAAGACATCAAAAACTAAAATTATCCAGAAAACTTGGTTCACACCTTCCCCCTTCTCTCAACGACAGACTTGTTGTCTTCAAATTCATTTGTAGGTTTCGTTTCACACCTCTCCTCACCTCTCTCGACCTTGCACCACTTGATTGGCCACTCTGCCTCTCCCCTGCTCCCGCCTCCTCCTCTCTCCTGGCTTGTTCTCCTATGCTATATTATCTTTGCTGACTGTCCTATCTTTCTTACACCCAAAGAAGGCTCCACAGCCGAAACGTTGTTTACTTTCCTCTCTTTTCAGCATGGAGTAAACCTGTTACTTGTTCGTTATACATTTAACTATCCATAAACCATGTGAATACAGATGTAGAAGTCATGTGCAGTACTGTGTGTGTGGTGTGTGGAATCTCCCAGCTCTTACATACAGCACTTCCTCAGGCAACAGTGAATTCCATTATACCAATAGACAGGTCTCCCACTGTGGAAGAATTCAGCACTATCCTTTTTCCAGTGGATTATACCACTTTGTAACAGGCTCATAGACCCCTGTTACAGAAGATTTTTTTTCTTCAGCAGTGAAGTGGCTTTCAAGCAATCATCTAGATTTCTTTCCATGTACTGTATATTCTTTCCATCTCACAGTAACCATTGCTTGCTCAACAGGTTCCTAAATTGATGGCATAAGATGAAGTAAGTAGGGGTAACATCACCAGGAGATTATTAGGAAGAACTGCTCCAATTTTTTCAAATTAGTTAACATCAAAGAATAGTTGCTCCCATTCTGAATTCACAATGCAAACAGAAATGACCTCAGCAGCCTTCATCTTGAAAGATGCAAGTGTCTTATTTTCTTATATCAACACAGGTATGGAACTGCAAATTAGGTTGATATGCGACTGTGAATTCTAAATGAAAATAAAATGCGAGGATAAAACAAAATTACCCAAAAAACTCTTTTCAAACAGAAACTGATATTGCTTTATAAATATAGAAATAATTGGAGTAAACAGGAATTTTGTATTTGAGTAAAAGTATGGTATAGTACTTACGGCCTTCAAAATATATGTTCACTTGCCTTTGAATATGGGGATTTAACTATGAATGTTGTGGAATATATTCATGAGCTCCTGTAACCTCAATTTTCCTGCACTTACCTTATAAAAATACTTAGGTTCTTGGTGGACAAAATCAAATGAAAAAATCCAGCATGATGAGATTCATATGCCCTCTGGAGTCACTGTACATTTTTCCTAGCATACTAATATGAAGTGAGAGGTTGTTAAAACAAAGCAGTGCCATCACTGGGCCAATCTGAAGTTGTCTTTGACAGGTCCATCTAAAATATGTGAGGTTTGGATATGGGAATTTTGTTTTGTATATACTGTATATAGCTAAAACTTAAGTAAAAAAGGAAAAATACAACCTCATATTACTTTAATTTCCAGGATGTTGAGTGCTCTGAAATAGAGCCTTTTCTGTTACCTCTGATCGTACTGTAAGTGCACAGAATGCATTTCAATAAATCTATTCATTGTGAATTTGAAAGTGCCAACACATGCAGACTGTCACATCACAAATGAGTCCAGTAAGCAAAGAGCAAAAATGAAAAAGTAAAAGTTTTTTATTGATGTAATGTATTTCTTTTCAAGGAGGTCTTATGCTCTTGAGTTTAAATGATTTAATCCCAGTTGCTCTATGATTAAGCTGTTGTTTTCACAGCCATTCATACTGTAAAGATATAGGATTGCAGCAAATTATTGCTGATAATCTTACGTTTTAGCATAGACTCATTAAGGAATGGCCATTCACTCTGGGAAATCATCCCATATCATTCAATAGTCATCATTGCATAATACTTTGTGACCTGTATTAAAATGATTTAAAATATTTCTCCTGCTGTTTTCAAAACAAGTACCCTGAACTGAGTAAAATGGCAGGATAAGATTTGATCAGCTTGATTGATCTGATATCTGCTTATGGTCCAAGTCTGTTGTACAGATTGACAGAGGGCATGAGTGTGTTTCCACCATTTGTTTTGTTCTTCTAGAATGTTTCCATCTCTTAAGTCACAAACACAAAGGTCTCCTGTCACCCACAAAACAGGACTGCAGTAGAGCCTTGTACTGCCAGAACAGTATTGTGAGGCTAGGGCACTTAGAGTCAATCAGGACAAAACCAGAGTTATTGTTTTCCAGAAGAAAGACTAATATCAGGGAAACATGTATTGCTTCACACCTGATAACCTTTTAACATTTTTCAAAAGCATTTCTGAAAGGGTAGTCACTGTCATCTTTCCAAATGTGACAGGATATTTTGTTGTAGTTTCTTATCCTGTTCCAGCTGTTCACTGAGCACTGTATAGCATTTTGCCATCTACTAAAAATAGACATATTCTTTCTCCCTTTTTCATCAAGTGAGACTTTTTTTCTAATATATTCACCACACCAAACTAAAACATTTGTTTTTAAAAGCGGCACATCAAGAGTCAGTGTATGCAAACTGTGTTGTCTTGCGAAGAGGACAGGGAGCCTTGTGAAGTTTCCCTGGAGTAATGAATCAAGCTTTCAATCTGCCAGCTCCGTGCATGCCTCTTATATCAGTTGAGGCAAATCAAACTGTGTAAACTGCACAGAACTAAGAGGGGCTCTGAAAACTTTTGGAACAGCTAATGCCACTGCAAAAGCAAATGCAAACCTATTTCTTGCCAGCCCCACTTACAGTATATTACAATTTATCTTACTTACAGTATTGTTTCTTACAAAAAGTGTTTCAACTGATAAATATAACTTATAATGACTTTATCTTGTATATTCTTTAAAAAAATAACTGGTGCTTACTTTACACCAGCGCTGACCTACCTGATCCCAGGGGGACCACTGTGCCTTCTGGTTCTTTTCCCAACTGAGTTCTAAAACACCAGTTCATCCTGATGCTTTAATGGTTCGACTTGCTTGTTAACACTTTTGCTTTACTTATTCCTTGATTGTAAAATTATACTGCACCATCCCACGCATATGTGGTTCTGTGGGGCAAAAAAAAAAACAGGCCACACAGCCACATGTCTCCACATGAGGGAAATTGAACTTCATTCTTTTATACCTGCAGTGTCTTATTGCAATGACACCACTGAATGTAACTGTCAGCAGACCATTGGAAAATGTATCTATTATGAGTGCCAGTGGATACTAACCTCCTAACCCTCTTTCTGTATATTTAGAATTGAAGAAATAGCTCAACTAATCTAAGGCTAGCAACAAAACTGTACCCCACCAGGCAGAGAGCAAATTATTAAATTTAATCCAAAGTATTTGGTGTCTGGCAAACATGTCAAATCGTTAGTGTCAAACATATGTCTTAATTCATTTTTCAAAATGTATTAATTTCAACTTTTTTGGAACATTGTAATTCTTGCTACCTTCTCTCTTCGGGGCAAACTTAATAATGCCTATTGCAATTTCCGTTTTTGCAAAAGGGCAAAGATGATGGTGGGGGGACTGACAAAAGGGGAAACCGATATATAATTAATAAAGTTTTGCCTATGCCTTAATTAAAGTCAAATGCTCTGGGTAAAATGTTATTTTACACATATTTAATTTTAATTAAGTTGTACAGATGCTGCAAGCATTTCCAAGAGATTGCAATATCACAGGGATTTCTGGTACTAGGAACCAAATCTTTTTTTTTTAATGTCTTTCATATTTAATTTATTACTGCCCTTTAATAAGAGTATTTTCCTATTTTTTCCCCTTTAATATTACAAGTCTCAGTTGATGCCAAATGTCATTTCATTCTTCCTTCTGTTTTTAAACGGTTTATCTGTCTTTTATTTTTCCACACAAATGCTCAGTTTTATTGAATTGGACTTTATCACAGTTTTGTGTTTATTTGCATGTAGGAATTATCATGTTTGAGGAAGAATACATGGTCCAATGAATAATAGATAAAGTGTATTGCATTACATATTTCCTCGTTCTTTGTTGTTTTGAATTTCAAGGCAAAGTACTGTGAAAGGATACGGGCTGAGAAAAAATGAATGTTTCTAACTCTTCATCACTATATACAAGTGGCTGTTGAAAGAGAACTTTCTCAAAGGGAATTGAATGGGATTGAATTTGATGTCCTTAAAACAGTGTTTTAAACAGCAGCAACCCTGTCCCTGTTGTGCCGAGTATTTAGCTTTCAACTTGTTGTTCATTTTAAATGCATAGAGTATGTCAAAATGGCAAAAAAGGGCATTATAAAAGCTGAAAAACTCATATGAAATCTTTTCATCATAGAAAAATAAACATATCGTAGATTCTATTCCTTCTTTTTAGATTGGGCAATTTCTTACTGACTGCAAATATTCCTAGTGCCCTACTGCAAGTAAATGCAATAGATACTGTAGTATTCATAAGGGTTTTATGAATAGACCAGGTGGGCGATTATTTTAATAGTTATACCAATGCATAAATATTCAGAGCAAATGTAATTATCATAAAGTATAATGATACTGCCCCCCTAGTTAAGTTAAAGAGTAAACTAAAAAAAATCAAAAACATGCCCATCATCAAACTAGTGGGATATACAGGTCTTGTCATCAGTGCATTTAGTTGGAAGATTATGAGGTAATGATTGTGCACATACAAATACTGAATGTTTTTAAAAGATTCATGACTTTGAATTTTCATTGAGGTCTGGTGGTGGAGGTTTTTTGTTAGATTCCATTGTGTATGCATCACCTTCCACTGGTTAAAATGTTTTTGATATTGTAAATCAATTGAATAAATAACATACACTAGTTTCACCATATTATTAGAAATGTTGGTCAGGACCAAAATTTGTAGTAGAGCAGTTTGAATAATAGGTAACTTTATGGTAGTAATGCACAGTCCTGACACTGAGCAGCAGTAAACAAGCACCGAAGGGACATCTGTTGGAATTCTATAAAAAATAAATGCTTGTAGAAGACATTTTCATTTCAGAAACGTTCATGTTCCTTCAAAGCTTCAGCCACATTGGTTTTACTCATCTCCTTGTAAAATTAGACAAGAAGCCACCAAGGTATTAGTTTTACACTCTAGTGAGTCTATAATCTGCTTTACGTGTAGCATGAATGAAGGTTTTCACAACCAAAAATAATGTGCAAAATGTTTCACACTTCAGCATTATACAGTCTTCATCTTCACCTAAAAGTGCTCTCATTATCCAATATATTAAACTATAGTGGTTCCTTATATTTCTTCTTCTCATACACAGAAGCTTATTAATATCCTTTACTATTACAGTAGGTTTTCCTGCTCTACGTGCAATTTCTGAATAGATATTCTATACCAAAATTACTATAGGCACATTCACATACAGTATACTGTATATACATATATGCAATATAATTCATACTTGCTGTCCACTTACACTGTTTGCTTGCCTGTGTACTGAAATACAGTACATCTAAATACAGAAGCTGTGATGTACTGTATATGTTTTGAAAAATAGGATTATATTGTGAGACTTTATCATTTAATTCACAACATCTAAAAAAAGAATGGAATGAGGTTCTCATCATTTCCATTATACTTGCAGTTCTTGAGCAAGAGAAGGTACCCCAAGCTCTCCGAGTCTGCAATACTAACCACACCACCACCATGCCACATTTTAGCCAAACATATGTGGTATAATTGACCATATCCTACTTCCAGGTATATCATATAATGATGTGCAATATAAAGATATAGTGTAAAGATATAAAATACTGTGACTGCTGCTGGAAACTTTGGTTACTCATGTTCCTGTCCCAGGTTCATGGCTGGCTTCAGCACCTTAGTCCAGCGAGCTTGAAGCTAAAAGGTTGGCCATTGAGAGGCAATTCCTTATGAATCTAAAATTGTATTACAGTGTAACTTGCACCCTACGTTCCACCAGTGCTTCATCAATTTAGCTCACAACAACTTCAGTTTCAATATTTATGATATCTACTGGCGAGTAAAATAGAAAGCAGCCTGTTTATTTCACTTTTTTTTCCTGAAAGTTGCTCAAAATTTTTTCCACAGGGGAAGACCCCCAGTAGAGTTAAATTGTATTGCACAGTCATATCACCTTTTCAGACAAAGACTTTCAGACTCTTATTTAGAGGGCGTCTTTTCTCATTTAGATTTTTGAAGGAAACTCTTACCATAGTCTCCTGAGAAAGAAAGCAATACTGCAGTTGATATCTTGGTAAAGACTCCTCTTTGAACCTCAAGATGTTTTGGCATAAATATTATGTCCTTTCATTTGGCTTCTCAGTTATGGTCCTTATTCCAATCTGGGAATTGAATTCCAGAAGTGACTGCTATTGTCCCCAGCCTGTTATGGTACAGTAAAACAGGTTGTTTGTCACATACCTGGTTCCCTTCAGGACAAATACAGCCTTTACTTTATGTCCATCTGTGTGGCAACTGATTGGGAAAGAGATAAAAAAATGTATATATTTTTTTACACTGTTTCAGCAAGGAGACATGGAAGACTACCCATATATGTATGTATATACAGTGAATTGTGAAAGTTTCTGATCAAAGTCTGTTCCCAGGATAAAGAAACCCACTGGTAATGGATATTTCCTCACTTAGAAGGAACCAGAATTTCCATCCATTTACACTAATGCTAATGGGATCTGTGGCTTCACTGCATGTGGGGGAAAAGACACTTATGAAAAATCATTGTTTACCTCCTTACAGAGTCTATCAGTAGAAAACACTGAAGAGTATGGTTTATTTACCGTAAATAATTTCCAGAGTATATAAATACTCGTATACTATAGGTTTGAATTTAAAGAGCACTTATTTAATAAGTATGTAGGGACATACTGACTCATTTTAGATTATGTTTCTAGTCAAATTAACTAAAGGACACTTTCCTGAGAAACATAGTCTAGTTCTTAAAACTAAACAGTAAACCAATGTGCATTTTTATTTCATTTTAATTGGCATAATATAAGCCAAAAAAAATCTATCTTTAGTACTTTTAAATAATAGTTCAGCTTAAAATACCACTTCTGTAGCACTCACCTTTCCCTAAATCTGTTTATCCCTACAGCTCGGGTGTGTGACAACGAGCTCCTCCGCTGTCAGAATGGAGGAGTGTGTCATAACAACCTCCGGTGCCACTGCCCCACAGGTTACACTGGCCTTCTGTGTGAGAAGCAGAAATGTGAAAAAGAGCCCGGAGGCTGCAGTGGTTCAAACTCTGGCCAGAATGTGCTAACCCCTCCTCATTACTACCTACTACTGCTGCTTCTGGCTGCACTGCTGCAAGGAGTCTGTTGTCATCTAACTCTTTAGGGGAAAAAAAGCTTCAGAGCAGTCCACCAGCTTCAGAACCAGGCTATTGATAAGGAATGTGTCGAAACGAAAGCAAATATTTGACAAATTAAAAGGATAAAACAATACATATATAAACTGAGCTTTTGCTTTATAAAGCTGACAGACATCCGGAGACCAGTGAACTAAGCCATAATAGATACTATTCTCCTGGAGAGGCTCTGAAGTCCACAGACTGCTTTTCCTTCAGCCTCACCAAGACAATGGCAGCTGCAGTACTCAACGGCGATCACAATGCAAGCTGCAGAGACACACTGGGATGCTTTAGAGAAAATGTGAGCTGGATTGCTATTGATCAGTCTGATGCGGTGCAATATAGAACTGTCCAGTTTGGGTGGACCAACAAAATGGAAGCATTCTTTGCTGTCAGTGCATTGTGGATATAAGGAAATCCATTCAGACTGCCACTTTTGACCTGTTCCTGTCCCAACTCCTTCAGTCCCTTATAACCTGTGCTTTTGTGAACGTTGCTCTGTAACCCTCGTTGGTTGAAAGATTTCATGTCTGATGTTAGTGACGCACATGTGTAATAACCCCTGCCCCCCGACCCTGCCCCTCAAAAAAGCAAGTCAAGTCAATCATACTCTTGTATATCTTAGAAGCACTAGATCCTCTATGATCCTGGTGTTCACCTGAAAAAAAAAGTGGTTATGAAAAACATCAGTGTATTTAATCTTTTTTTGTATAAAATGCAGTTATTTTCTTGAAAAACAAAAAGTAATATGTAGATTTTTTCTTTTTGTATCATTGCCTATATTGTGTTAAAAGGCAACTTGTTAAAATATTTAATCGAAAAAAAAAGGATAGAAGAAATGTTTTATTTTTGGTTTTATTTTGGTTGTACAGAGATTCCTCTGTATTGGCAACGTGCTGGCATCAAAGAATATCAGTTTACATATATACTAAAGTGTAATAAAATTCCACCAAAGGACATTCTAAATGTTTTCTTGTTGCTTTAACACTGGAAAGTTTAAGTGAATAAAAAAGATCTATAATAAGTGTTTCCTATTATTTGTTTTGAACAGACAAAATAAAATGTTAAAAAGGTTTTAAAAAGACACATTCCAACAATGTAATCGAGTTCCAATTGCATTTAAGCACCAAATAAGTACCAATAATAAATTATGCTAAGTTGTTTATTGTAATACCTTTTAGAAATAGCATACATACTGTAGTAGAGATAACCAGTGAAGAGAAATTCTCTTTGTTCTTTTTGAAAATAAACCAGAATTCTTATATTTAGCTTAAAGGATTGATACAATACCAATAAATGTATTCTCATTTTGGAATTCACAATTGCATTTTAGGTTTTTACATTTTCAAAAAAAAACATCTAGCAAAGGGAGTGATAGGATTATGTCTTGTTGAGGTACAGGTACATCACCAGGATACTGACTTTGATCTTTCCACTCCTTATAAATTTTGATAACTGGTATCTTTGAGTAGCCCTGCAATATGACACCACTATCCTTGCTGAAGTTGCTCATCAGTCTGAACCTGCATTGACACCTCTTTCGAAAGCAGTTGAACATGCCCATTACCACTATTCTTTTTGCAATTGTTTCTTTACTAAAATTACATGTTACATCCCATTATCAATTGTTTTTGTTCACATTCAATTTAAAGAACAAACACATAAAACAGAAGAGTAGATTATGGCCCAAATAATATAGCCATGAATGTGTCTACAAATAGAAAATCAAAAATAAAAAAACTTTTTTGAGTAGGACAGCACCAAGGAATGAAAAGCATATTTTTAATGTCATTTAAATCCCTTTTTTTCTTGGCCAAAACATGTCAGTTCAAAATGCATTAAGCATCTAAATTTAATGCTGTTGGTGTTTCTGACCTCCATCCATCCATTTTGTAACCACTTTATCCAATACAGTGTTGTGGGGGGAGCCAGAGACATTTCCCTGGAAGCAATGGACACAAGGCACCATACACCTTGGATGGGACACCACACCATGGCAGGGCACATACAGACACAAACACACACATTCACACTATAGCCAGTTTTCCCAGAAGCCAATTTACTTACCAGTATGTCCTTGTACTGTAAGAGGAGTCTGCAGCACCAGGAAGAAACCCACACCAACAAGTGGAAAACATACTGTACAAACTGTCTAAAAACTGAACACAGGCCCCCAGTGCAGTGAGGCAACAATTCTAACCAGTCTGCTACTGTGCTGCCCATCCTCATCTAAGTCTGGTAACACTCAGTGCTTTTAAATTCTAACTTATTTAGACATAACTTTAATAATCAACAATATGAACTAGGGGGGCATGTCACTAAATATTTGCATTAAGCCGCATCACAGTAAAATACCATATGCCTGGTAATCATTTTACCATTCCCGAAAATTGTTCAGGTGTTTAATTACATGTGGTCAGCAAATGATAATAAGACACAAGCTGTTCATTGTTCAATTCAGAAACCTTATTTAAACTGAAGTAAGTCAATCAGAGATAGAACGTAAAAAGATCATATCTGAAACCATTAAAGGTCAGCACAGCTCTGAATTTCAGCAGATCTACCCATGAAGCTTTTTAGGAAAAATGCTTCCAATAACTTACAAATTGATCAGATTTAATTGACAGGTTGGTATACATTTTCATATAATGTAGTCCTATGGTACAAACATCTGGACTATTGCAAGATAAGTTTCCCTATTATGAAATGTCTAGCTCAATCATATAATCATTTTAAAAAGATGAAGAAGAGCAATGTTTGTGTATATTTGCATTTATACGTGTTACACTTTAAAGTCTAATTTTCTTCCCACTTGTTTAAGTTGCTAATTAGATAAGTGTGAGGTAACTGTTTATGATACTTCTTGTTTCTTTATTTCCAAGCTTCTTCCACAAATCATACAGGAGATAAGGTCTCTCCTTGTATTAAGTAGGATGCAAGTTATATGTATACACACTGGGAATTCATTTTCAACATTTAACAATGGGTCTAAATTTACATACTGCTAGTGATCATAAGTCTCATGGTACTTTAGATTTAAAAATAGTAAATTAAATTATTTTCAATTAGGAAAAGAAAAAACAATTACACTGAAGAAAATTACCAAACGTATACTTTTCTTTGATGTTTTAAAAATACCACCAATGGAAGTATAATCCTTATGCACCTGAAAAGGACTGTAATGGAAGAATGCCTGAATAAGTTGCTAGCTTCCTTGTAATTTATAATCAATTTATCTTAAACTCAATCCAGTAAAGATTTGCTTCAATGGAATGCATTGTCAGAGGGGGAAAATTAAATATTAACAAGTATTGATGCCTTACTGAGAGGCTGTGTTCAAAGTTTATGTAGTAGGTCTTGTCAAATTGAAGACAGTTCATCCATAATTTGAAATATTTTAACTTGAACACCGCAGAACACTAGAAGAAACTTTGTAACTGAAGTTCAGTATTTTTAATGGAGTGTTTTTTTTTAACAAATTCAATGACTGAGTGTTTGCAATTATGGATTAGCTACCTACAGCAGAAAAAAAAAACAAGTCTTATGTTTCTTTTTGTGCACCACAGTCTTTTTTTATTTGAGTGACTGAATTTATGTACTGTAGGAGTAACTTGCGGCACTGCAAGACAAATGGAGGAGTGACAAAAAGTTTTAGTGATCAAAGAATGAAAATTTGAAGTAGATTCAAACAAAATGTATAAAAACAAAAGATGGCATGAGGGGGTTTTCTAACAGATATCCAAATTTTTCCCAGCAGAGACCTTGACTTTCAGTATCACAAAACAGCACCTTCCGTATTCCACAATCATGGGCAAAACACAACCTACTGTATGAATCTGTATATCCCATGGGTCCTGGCCTAGGTGCACAATGTCTACATTATGTATTTTGCCTTGTAACATTATTAACACCATCATGGCAGCATTATCATCATAACCGGGGTGCAGAAATCCCAGGTGGAACTTTTATTGATCTAAAAAGTGGCTAAGATGATAAAAATAGCAATTTTACATATATTACAGTAAAAAAAAGATCTACATAATATATGTTGTAAAAAAGCTCAGTCAGCTGTTCTCAAAGGTAATGGATTGACACGTTCAATGAAGAATTCAAAGACAACTATCCTCCTTCACTCCATTTTAATCACCATTTCTTGTGAGCAATTCCCTGCTATCACCACCTCCACTGGCAATGCCCTCTATAGGTTTCCACTCAAAGGACCTGTTATGTCGGCATGCAATGTCTTGCACTGTGCCTATTTTGTGATGTCCAGCGACAAGACCCAGGAGCAGCAATGTGTACTTAGGATTTGACTGCGTTGGCTACAACATCCAAATACCCAAGACAAAGGATCTGAGCAATGGAAAGCTTCAGAAACACTATCAAAAAGGGAGATAATCTAGCCAGGTACTGTAAGACAGGGCCTCACAACACAGCAACAACACAACACAGCGCAATGGATCTGAACAGTGGAAAGCTTCACACACACAATATCAAGAAAGGAGAGGATCTCGGGAGGTAAGACAAGTGCTCACAACACAGCAACAGCACATCACAGAGAAATGGAAAGCTTCAGAAACACTATCAACTATCAAGGGAGAGATTCTAGGCAGGTAAGACAGAGACTCACAACATTTTTTTTAGCTGCAGTAAGATTTTTCCATTCCTGAAACTGCTAAACTATAATGTATGTAATTACAGTGGGCTGATGAAGTGGCCAGAGGTCAATACATTTGTAGCAATGCTTTTGGATTTGACTGTAATATCCCTAGTCTCTGTATCAAATTTGTGTATTGCCTAAAGTATACAATATGTATCCAGTTTTTTATTTAGTTTGTTCACTGAAACAAGTGACTGTACTGTATAAGGATCCACCAAGAGATTGCTAATTATAAATCGGTTCGTGCTGCCATCCACTTGAAAAGGGATGACAGGAAATCTCAGATAAACAAAAGGCGATGCTTACATCATTTGGATGATTTGCAACACAAATGATGTGCAATCATTTAAATATTGAGTGAGCGAGGTTAACAAATGAAAACAAGAACAAAGTCTCTGGTGACAAAAATTACGAAAGAGATATTTTTAAAATGTAACTGATATGTGCAATTTTGAATACAAATAATAACCAATTTTGTATTGATAGACAACCACAAGGCTCTAGCAAATATTAAATAACACTTTATAGATCTTTAAATTACAGTAAATGAACGCTATTAAATCAGGATGTTTCTTTGCGGTATCCAAAAATGAGATAATCTATGTATTGGAAAGTCTTGGCTGAGTTCCAGTGTACTCCAGACAAAATTGTTTCACTGACTCTGGAAGCACTCCTGCAACAGCGAAGTAGAAAATTATATTCAAATCCCAGGAAAGGTTGTGAATACAAATATAACAACCCTACAGGTGACATATGGTGTGAGAGATTACTTGCAATTAAGCTTCTATTTATTGATAAAAAAGAGATTTGAAAAAGATCTGTAATAAAGGAAAAGACAATCTGAAAAAGAGATTGTCTTTTCCTTTATTACCTTTCAGATGATAGTTGTCTGGGTGGAAGCAAGATTAGTCTGTGAAATATTTAAAACATACTATCAATGGATTTGATAGCAATCTTTCTTATCATTTGATCAAAAGGGGGTTTGTAATTAGTTATTTTTAGGACTCATACATGTTAATGTCTGTGTACTCCACTGCATTCTGCACACAGTTTTTATTACAATTTATGAATCCTGTATAACACTATGAGACTATCTGGTACTGCAGATGCATGCTAAATAGAAGTTTTTGTGGGTTTTTTTTTTATAGAAGATGTGATTTTTGGTTTTAATTTAAGAAGTGCTTTTATTTTCCTCTCCCTAGATGACAGTTAGCCTTGTACAGTCTGTGGATGTACTTTGGGCTATTCAGCTCCTTTGGCTTTGTCTTGAGTCTTATTACCAACATAGGCATTGCATACTGTACAAAATTGCTCTTCCCGTCATTGTATACCTTTTTATACAGTATACATATACTGTA